CTTGAAGAATTAACAATAAAATTATATAAAGGAAGATAGAATAAAGTATTATTTGCTAAATGTATAACAAATGGTACTTTGCTTTCTTTGTTATATACTGAAACTTTATAATTGTTATCTTAATATCTTTGGATTTTGTAAAAGAAGTCTTTATTCTTTAAAGATTCCAAAGAGAGAATTTTCTATATGGAATCATGACTTTTGGGAATTTGATACTTAAGTAGGATATTCACTTTATGGTGATTTTACAATAATATAATTAATAATATCACATAGTTTTATTAAGATGAAGTAGACTCATGACATTAGAAATGATGAACTTGAATTTAAAATATTCTTAGGAAAAAAGAATCCTAAAGAATTAATTAAATAATATAATTAATATTTAAATGGTTGGGAATTGCATCAATTTTGGGCATTTGGATGGCATTAAAGCAGATGGGGATATTAAATTACTTCTGTTATTAAAGATGTTATAAGAAATTATAAAGAATCTGATATTCCATTAGAAGTTATTTGGACTGAGTTAGATTATATGTAGGTTAGAAAAGATTTTACTTTAAATGAAGTATTATATCCAAGAGAAGATCTATAAAACATAACTTAATAAGATGGAGTTTGTTAGATTCCAATTTTAGATCTTGGAATAGCAATAGATGGTGATTGTGGAAGAGATCTTGTAAAATCAAGGGCATATATTAAGAGTAATAGATGATCTAAAATTCCATTCTTCGATTTGTATTTACTGATTTTAATCATCCAACGCTTATGAATTATTTAGTTAATGTCACAAAGATTGGTTTTATAATTATAGTTCATTTACATAAGTAATTATTTTTATTATTCTACTTTATGAGATTGTCCAAGTGGAATTTGGATCGACATAAATGAATTAGCTAATTTTAGAAATACCAAATAATAGAAGGTTCCTAAATTAAACAATGATATATTTCAATTGAAAATTTACCTTGGGATGCTATGGTACTATGACTTTAGAGGTACATACAATAGCCATTAAATGAAGGATAAGGTGCCTTTTTCAATGGTTCAACATAATATATTTCAGAATTAGTGGAATGGTTTTTTTGAATTAATTGAATTAAAGAAAATTCTTATAAGAAATATAAAATAAGACACTTAATTTTAGATCATCAACATTCAACATTTGGAAGTGGAAGATTTTCATCCATTTGGTTTGGAGATAATGCTTCAACTTGGGTATGGCTTCGTTCATGAATTTATTAATTTTTTAATTTCAATCTTTTTGGAATAATATTTGTGGATTCAATTAAGATCTACACCATAATTATGTTAAAGATTAATTTAATTGAGTGCTTTCTATCCTTTTGTAAGAGATCATACTGCTAGACTAAGAACCTTATCTTCATGAAATTACTAAGATTTCAGCTTAAAATAGTATCAATCTTAGATATGAATTCTTGAAATATTATTACTTTTTATTTATTTCTTAAAGAGATTCAACTCTTTAAACAGGATCAAGTACTATTGTAGATCCTTGATGGTTTAAATATTAAGATGACCCTCAAACATTTAATATAGAAATTCAATTCTAAATTGGAAATATAATAGTTAATCCAGTCGTTGAAGAATAAAATGATTCTAATCTTGATTATACTGAAATGCAATTCTATGTTCCTTAAAAAACTTATTGGGTATCCTTAGAAAATGTTTAACAATTCCAAAAGGATGGAATACAATTAAAAGAACTTTTACTGATAATGCATTTTTAGCACTTGAAGCAGGGTCTATCATTTAACACAATAATTCAACAGGAATCATGAGATTATGAGGAATGTCTTCAAGATATAGATTTGATTGTTGTTTTAAATGAGGTAAAATTATTATATAATTTAATTAGCTTGGTTAAGCTAGTGGATCTTATATCTATCAATGATTATTATGATGAATAAACCATTTTGGAAAGATGTGGAATGATTAATATGCCTGTATTGGATAAGTGTTAGTTAGAACTGTTAAAGATACTTTCATTAGACTAATAATAAAGCTAATAATGATAGAAGTGAGTAAATCAATTTATGAAATTTTAATGAAAATTTAAAAATTGAAAAATTAAGTTAAAAATGTAACAAATATTTCAATATTTTCCTTATTCAAATTAAAATAGATCTGTCATCTCTTCATCTTAATTGGAACAAATTGAATTTCTTTCTCTTATTCTGGTTTTTAAATATTTTATTTTTCTGCTTATTTTACTCTTGATTATTGTTATGATTTTTTTATTTTTAAAATTCTGATTTAGCTTTATTTATTTTACAGCTTACACTTAAGGAGATGGCTATTATTTGTTTCTTTTCTTCTCTTTTTTTAAAATTAGAAACTTTATCAAGAAAGCTAAGTGGTTATTCTGGAATAATTTGTCTCTTCTTATTTCTTATTTTTAGACTGCAGTTTACAATTTTAGATTATGAGTTTAGAAAGTTTAATTTTTCTCTTAATTAAATGGGTTACTATTAATAACAGCATTTTTTTGAACATAGCCATCCTATTAATTATTATAAGTTTAAGTTTCTTAATAATTTCCTATCTATGCTGTTTTTTTATGCTATTCTTTTATGAATAACTTCAACTTCTGCTTCTTTAACATATTATAATTTATCTCCATGTAAATTAGTATAAGTAACTTTATTTTAAAATGGAACAGACTTTAAATCTTTAATATGAATTTATTCTTTTTATAATTCCTAATCATTTTTAACTTGATATTCAAAAATTTAAGTAGTAGTAATAGTTGCATTTCCAATTTCTCTTTTAATTTTGTTACCAAAATTTGGATCATCTACTCCTTTAAATTTTAAAGCACGATGCAAGTTAATAAATAATTAAACTTAAGTTTCAATTAATTCATCTTTTAAAATATTAGCAAAATCTTTTTCGATATCTGGAGGTTTAACTCTGGTATAAACCTCCTAATAAGTCAATTTTACATCCTTCTCCTTTTATTGTAACAACAGAAATCACTGCTCCTGATTATGATACAAAAACACCCAGAACTTCCTTAAATTATTTATTTACATCATTATCCAGTGATCCCAAATTGGCTGGGAAAAATCAATCAAATATAAAATAAATGAAAGAGGAAACGATGAACCCACTTATTACTAATATCTCTATCATGATGATGAAAGATAAGTTATTCATGAGACAATCGATGGAGAATAAAAAGTAAGATTTACCAATGAATTCTTATAATAATCTATTGTAAATCTAGAGTTAATCCAGAAAAAATAGAAGAGTGGGTAACAACAGTAATAAATAATGATGCTTTAGTTGAAGATGATGAATACATAAGTTTAGTGTATTCTGTTGCAATTGAGAAGTTGAATCAAGAAAAAACAGATTTAAAAAAATTGCAAGTTCAAGAAGAAGGGGATTCATTAAAAGTAATCATTTAATCATACTTTAGATTGCTATTACTACTGCTTAAAAAGTTAACTATATCTATGTAGCATTGGAATCTAATGGAAAACAAGCAAATTTAAATCAGAATGATAATTTTGGAAATTCTTTATAATTTCAGAATCCTACTTTAAATTATAATCTAAGAACTCTCCTTTTCAGAGAAAACAAAAGAGACCATTCCATTAAAATTTAATAAGACTGTTGATTAAGAATAAGGAAACATTAACATTGTTTTTGTGTAATATTTAGAATAAATATTAAATCAATTTTATTATTGCAAAAAGAAATGAATTATTTAAATTTTCCCCTTAGATATTTGCAAAGAGAGATATCAGTATCAAGTGATTACTTTTTTGATAATATGAACTTCTTTTCTTAATTCAATAGAACTTTTCATAAAGCTACAATAAGTATTCATATTTAATTTATTAAATCTAGAAAATCCTTTTTATTTATTCTGTTCAATTAGTTTCTTTGTAAATCTTATTGGGGGGTTTGCTACTTCTTTTGGAAATTATAGAATTTGAGGAAACCAATCAAATATGTTAATAATAAAAAATGATGTTTACTCCAACTCCTTTAAGATTGGGATTCCCTTGTCAATTTCTATGGGATGATGGATTTCATAATTTGATTGTTTGTAGATGGAAATCTTAATTATGTATCTAATCTTTATCAGATTGATTTGATACAATTTCTAGTAAGGGATGGATACCGAGGGAACAAGCAAGAGTAAGATATTATCATACTGTAAATATTCATTTCCATAAATTATAAGCTTTAAAGAATAGAGAAATATAATAATAAGTTAGAAAACTCTATACTAAGGCAATCGATTGGTATCATTTTTGGATCAAATCTCAAGGATTTAATGAAGGAGATAACTTCTTATTATTCAAATTGTGGGGAATTGAATGATATATTCCATTAATTAATTAAATGTAAAACTTTTTAAATTTAAATATAATATTAATTTCAGAACTGGAATGGATGATTGGCCAAGATCTCATAATGGTCTAAAAAGCAAATTTAATATTGATGCAAGTATGTGAGGTAGGTTCTTTGTTGATTCAATGTAAAAATTAGCTCCAATTTATATCAGTAAAAAAGCAATCAATTTGATTAAACTGCTGAAATGATTAAAAAATCTATTAATAAATATCATTTTGATTCAGATGATAAAATCTTTAAAGATGTATTAATTGATGGATCATTTTCTCCTCATCTAAGATATCCTAATTTGTTTCCAATTACTTTTGGAATTATTGAGCCTACTAAATTGATATTTTAGATGCATACGTCAATATGATTAGAAAAGAATTATGGACAAATCATGGTCTTAGATCTTTAAGCATTAATGATAATCACTTTGGAAAAGTTATTGATTATTTTTTTATATTAGGATCCGTTTGGGATACAAATTAATTATTTAGTTCTTAGAGGAATTTAAAAGCATTATTCATCCCATAAAGGTTTAATGGATTTATAAAAAGAATTTAGAGTAAAATTTAATGAATACTGTTTATATTAATTGGACAGATAGAGGGTATATCTAATAATATACTAAGATATTTATTTGTACATTATAATTAAAGATAAGATGGACTTGGAAGAGGACATCATCAGTTTAAAGGATGGAAGAGTACAATTACATTAATTATCCATAGAATTTATGATTGGCATTGTTCTTGTTATGCTATTTTAGTTAATTTGTTATAAATTGTTTTATTGATTTAATTTGAATTAAATTAAATACCTTTCCAAATATATTTATTTTAAATTGTTAACACAAGTTTTTAAATCTAAAATAGATTTTTTAATTAATAAGATATATTTTAGTAAAAAATACATCAAATATTTAGAATTAATATTGATATTTTCTTTGAAAAATTAACTGATTACATTTTCATAAAGAATAATTTAAAATTAAAACCTAATGAATTTAAATAATTATTTATATAAAATTTCAAGTTTTATTTCTTTTATTCCATTTTCTAAATTACTTATTTCTTATTTTATATCAAAACATCTTTAAAATTTTTTCTTAAATCTATTTTAAATCTAACATATTCGTATTCAACCTAAATCTATTTGGTTTCTTTAAAAATTAGAGCAACCTTTCGATGACATATATCATTTTTAAAACCTTCTTTGTATTAAATTTTTTGATTACTAAAAGTATAAATCCTTTGATGAATCTAATTTTTGATAAAATCATTACTTCTTTATTCATTTTGAAATCATCCTTAGTAATCGCTACCATCTTTAAAACTCAATACACCTTCCTTTGGTTAATCATTCTCTACTTTTCCCTCAAATATTAAATCCACAAAATAATTTTCATATCATTCTTTTGTACTCTTAAATTATTCCATCAAAAAAATAATAAGGGCCACAAATGAAAAGTTCCATTACTGTAAACATTTAAAAAAAAACTACAGTAAAATTTTATTAGTTGCTGTATAATTCTTCATTATCCCTAATTTAAGTCCTCCTTCAAATTATAGGATTTGTATCTACTTTTTATATTTCTTTAAACTGTTTAATATGCACATTATTTACCAACTTTCATTAGGAATATACTTTTACTCATCAAATTTTCCAATGAAAAAATATCACTTTAAAAAAATATATATTTTAAAAAAGGGAAATTTTTACACTTATAAATAATTAAAACAGGATCTATATTTATTAAAAACTTATTAATAAACAATATTTAATTTTAAGTAATTATTATTTGTATAAGGAATTATGAGTCAACTCATAAAACTCAATTTTCGTTACCTTAAAAATTGATGGAAAACTAACAACTAATCAGTCCTAGGAATATGGATATTAAGACTTTTGATGAATACAAATCAATTTATATTTTATTTATTATCAATTTAATTATGAAATATATATAATAATTTAAAATTATTATTGAATCATCCTCATTTCAATAAATAAAAATAATCACCTTAAGTAACGAATTCATTTGCTGATCGATTCTTACATTCTTTAGTAGTATAGTAATTGATGAAAAAAAGTGAGGAGCAAATAATCAATTGATTTTTTATAAATAATAATATGTCTATAAGAATCAAATATACAAGTATTATAGAAGCATAGACTGGATTGAAATTATTGAGTTTATCAAAAAAGAATATATTGGGATTAAAAA